CGGGCGTAGCTCATCGAAATCAGAACTGGTGGCCCTTGGCCTCCGAAATGGCCCGCCGCGCGCCAGTAGGCAATCGCGGAAGCCTACATTAGCGCTTTTAATGGGGGGGGGGGGGGGGATTTTGCACGTTTGTAACACCAGATGTTCCTTGGTCCACACCTGTCGTCCCGTGTTGGCCACCAAAAATCATGGCGCGTGCCTCACCGACGCCAGCGTGCATGGGCAGACTATCTACGCGGAAAAGGCCCATTCTAACAGCGTGCTTCTTCTAGCAAAGTAGATGCGCAAATTGTGTAGTAGTAGTAAATTAATCAGCCTTGCTCGCTCAGGAGCGTGAAGGCCGCCCACAACGCTACATATAAAATTTTTGAAAATATTTTTTTTTTACTTTTTGACCTTCGCACAAATAGTTTTCACCACCATGAGGAACTCAATAACCAGAAACGCAGCTGCCGTTGCATAGAGAAAGAAGCAAAATTTGTTTTCAAGACAGAGTTGATGGGTCTTATCAACTTTGTAGCAACTGTTATGTAGCAACTATCATAAAATGTCGCATAGTGAGACATTTTGCGAAAGTACTTTGCTTCATTTTACAAGTTTCATAGAATGTTACTTTATTGTTATTCAGTAAATTTCTACATACACGAAATTCATGCTCGAAATTTCTTCTTTGTAACGGTAATATTTGTCTGTTACATCTTCATGAACTTTCGAGAACGACGAGTTGTGAAACTAGTCCCTCCGTGTTGAATATGTTCTATATTTTTTGCCTCCTAAAGTTATATAGGCGCTTAAAAAGAAAACAAGGTTCCTTTTCGGGCTGCTTGGTGAGATGGGCATAAAATATAAAATATTCAATCAAATCGAAAATACTAATTTTCAGATCCGTGTCGATCTCTCATGGAATCACCCGTCTACGATAACAATGGTTAGGAGACAAACTGCGGACATGTCTGCCGTGTAGCTAGCATACCTGTAACCGTGGTTAGCCGTAGTGCTCGTGTGACAGAGGTATTAGTGGGCTTTAGTTGAAACTGGGGTATGCCAATCAAAGTACCAAGTAAAAAACTTTTTTGCGCTACAAGAAAAATTCGAAGTTTTGCATCTCGCATTCTCTTTAAGGCCCTTCTTCCTGCCATGTACTCGCACCTAATGTTGGATCGCGAGTCTGCGAAATTCCGCTGAGGCAGACTGTCGATCGGCAGCGCACCTGTAGGCCGGTTGAAGTTACCGGCTGTCTCCTCGATGGGCCAGGATTCCACAAAAGCTGCTTATAGTAATCGACCTCTAAGTAGACCACGCGGGAATTGTCAAATTCGATGCGGTTGTCGTTCACCACGCTGTGCTCAGGCAGCTCAGCGAGTGTATTCCTTTTTCACTGAAACTTGCACATGTCGTTTTTATGTTGCCTCAGACTCTCGGGGAAGTTCCCCAGCTGCATCGCCCGCGAAGGGAGCGTAACTATGAGCACGTGCATACCTGCGAAGTTCAAGTATTCTGAAAAAGGTGGGGGGAGGGATTGCGCCGATTTATCTCCCCCCCCTCTTTTTGCGCCCAAAAGAAAACTGCGGGATCAATTAAATGCAATCTTGCTTTCGTGGCGAGATGTCGCTTTAAGGTATAAAGTCTGCAACCCCCTCCATCGCGGCAATAGCTAAAGCCGCGGCGAAGCAGCGGCCATTTGCACGTGTGGTGAAGTATATGATGCCGCTTTCTAACTCGCCGAGAGCAATCACATGAATGTGTGATTAGAAAGAAAAGGAAAAGGCACGTAATTTCTGCAGCCCTATAGGGAGCACGGCGCAGTGCCCTTCGTGACGACACCGCTTCAACACCGACAGAGTAAGGGCGCGAGAAATTGACCATTTGCAGAAATCTGCAAGGCGGCTTTCCTGCAAGGTTGTTTTCTAACCAAAAAGGAAAAAAAAAAGAAAACTATCGTGCCCAGTCTGCTTTTCTCGCCCACTGTGCTTTTACCACTCCTATTCTAGTGAAGGCACGCGAGTGCGACAAAACGACTTTTTCCCCCAACAATTACTGTGTGGTTGTCCCACCTCTAACGAACCCTCACATCGCATGGAGGGCGAGGCACCTGTCGTTCGTAAAGAAGGGAGTGGGGGAAGGCAAAAGCACAATGAGTGAGAAAAGCAGTTTGCGAACGAGACCTTTGGTTGGAAAACAACTTTGCAGGAAAGCCAGCTTGCTGATTTCCGCAAATGGTCAATTGTGTCTGCTTTTGTTTTGATGAATACCGGAGAGTTCATAAGTCAGAGTGGATCACGTGATTGTGAACAAACATTTGGTTATCGTTGATGCAGCCAATCAGTTGCCCTGTGTGTGTTACTTAGTAGGCCCTCTCACAGGGTGCCGCCATAGTCCTCTTTTCGCTTCCGTGCAACAGCCCAGGAAGGAGGGATTCCTATTGGTACATGCCCTTGGAGGCGTGGTCTTGGTGTTATAAAACTACAATGTTAGGGGTTATGGGTCGATCCAGAGAAGCGAGAAACGAGGGTCAGTCAACCGAACGAGAGTGGTCAATGAGACGTACATTCGCGAGTTAAATTGTTTAGCTACCCCAGAAGCTCCACAGGCATTGAATATTGAGTCTCCGGACCGAACAAGATATCCTAGAGGCAGGCCACAACCAGTCGCTACATGACTCCATTCCTGCAAACCCCGAGTTGAAATCCCAGCTCACTTCTCCAGAGTTTGTCACCACGACGAGGGACGTCTTCGCAATAGAACTTCTGCCTAGGTGTGAGTATTTTTTACCTATGTTATTCTTTTGCACATGGATTATTACCACTACGTTGACACAAACTGCTGAGAGTATAAAGGTGTTATTCTCGGGAAAATATACAGGTTGTCCCAACTATCATAAAACCCGATTAAAAAATGAGTAACTCCGTTACGCGAAGCAAACCTAGTGTACATTGTTCCTAGTAATTTGGAGCAACCACTTATAATTCATTCATGCATGAGAATAAATTAATGAGTAATCAAAGTATTTATAATTCCGCAAGTACTCACCTGATTATATTCATTGGAGGGCATGTTTAGTTCAATTACTGTACAGCTTGAAGCTTAGAATATACTTACACATTTAGTTTCTCATATATGTATGCATAAAGTGTTATATATGTAGCCATTGATGAGGCTATTCATGTACGATAGTTTGTATGTATGTTCCCCTATGGAACGCCGGTGTCTCCACTACTATTGCTCTTTTTTATTGTAAATGTGCTTGCAATGATTCGTATGCTATAAACACATTTTCAAATTAATTTTTTAATTTTTTTTTGTAGAAGCCATCGCCTAGTTCTTCGTAATGTTATGTTCTTGCATTTCTTATTCCAATGCAGTTGCGTTGTGTGACGAATGTACTGTGTGGTGCTAGAGGCCTAGTAAGGTGACTTATAACGTCGCCTTTAGTATCCTGCGCCACGACAATCATCTACTGTCAAACAAACGAATAAATAAATAAAGTAATTGAATGTTGAAATTACATCTAACTGCGCTATTTTCAACAACGTATTGCATCCACATTTTTTTTTTCCTGTTGATAAAGAAAGCCCACCAAATATGAAAAGTGACGCGTAACCAGACTGCTGCGTACATCAGGAAGCAGTACCCTCAAACAGGCTCAATGGGAGGTAGCCAGCGTCAAGAAATAGATGCAGAAAGAAAAAAAAAAAATGTGCATGGCCCTTTGTGCCAATCCCCGGTCAAAGAAACACGCCGCTTTGAACTTACAGAGTCAGGCCGTAATCAGAACAGTGCTCCGGTCGCGTTATCAGTGGAACGGTTGACCGCTAGATATGAATAATTATAGTGACATACAGTTGAGCGAAAGGAATTCCTGCAAACTTGCAACGCATGTTGGCGCGCCCTGAACACCCTTGTCAAAATGCGGAACGCTGCTGTTTTCAGCGGACAAGAGGCAAAGCGGTTGCTTGCTGCTCTTTTTTTTCTTCCTCAGGGGGGCGCGCAGTCATATGTTATTTTCTGATTTCGCAGGCTTTTTTATTGGCCGCAAAAATGAGAGCGCAATCAATGCGTTGTTGAAAATGGCGCAGTTGGATGTCGTTCGAACTTGCTTACTTATGTCTAATTGTTATTTTGATAATTACGCGAGTACTTGTCGAGTTATGAATTGAATTGTGACAACTTACTTAAACTACTTGACGAAGAAATAGTGGTGCGTACTATAGTGCACTGTCCACTGGGAATAATATGTGCGAGGTTAGCTTTGCGTACTACCATTTCTCCTTTTTAAAATCATGCTTCATGATAGTTGAGGTTTTTCTACTTGAACAACGTTTTGAGCAGTTGGGTTAACCGCGAGTTAACATACATTTATGGATAGAAAACGGAGCTGTGAAATTGTAAATCCACCTTAATATCAGCAACAATTCTTATAACCAAGGCCGATGATGCCACCGCAGTGGATCATTTGCCGTCACCAACCTTAATCTGAGAATGTACGTATATTGCCGCGAACTATGCCTTCTCGTTTGTGAGACCAGCGTTATCTGTGTGAACGATGTTGGTGGAGAGGATACGGCAAGGTATAAGAACGCTTCCACTAAAAGCGCAGGGACATTCGTTTTCCGCCGTCGTCGACCGGTGGGCTGTTTCTTCACCACCAGTGTTCCTTATCATTTTTTTGCACTTTTGCCGAGCACAAGTTCGCTCTAATAGAACTAGCTTTCCGAAAAACTCTGAATCGTTCCTGGCTACATGACAATACACATACATTGTGTCTTCGGTGACAGCAAGTGTTCAGGCGACTGGCCGCATAGCTGCATTGCTTGATGGCTAAAAAGGCATCTGAATGTATAGTGAATGAACGGCTCAAGGATTTTTTATTTTTTTCAGCCAAGCAAAGCCATGGACCGGGTGACAAAAACAAAAAGAAAAGAGAGCGGAGCTGAAGGACGCAAGAGGAGAAGGCTACAGGCGCAGGAAGCTGAGAAGTCAAAAAAGTTTTTTCGCGCCATTTTTTGAAAAACCTGGGGCAAGTACTTCATCATGTCCTTTGGAAGTAGCTCCATCTCCTGCCACTTCATTAATGTCCGTACAACTTGACGAAGGAGTCGTTCACGAAACTTCTAAACACAGTATGCTATGCGCAGACAATCCCGGGGATATTGCAGTAGAGGAGGAGGACAACGGAACCGACATTGGACTTCGGCTGGTTGAGCCTGTTGCTCTGAAGCTAAGCAAACTGGATTCCACGAAGCACCCTCAACCTATCATCTCAGAACTCGTTCAGAAGCATGACCTAGGTCTCTTAAAATTTGACACTGGTACTGGAAAAGCCGTTGTGTCTGACGCTGTACGAACGGAAATTGTTAAACTCGGGGCCATGTATTTCCAAAATCGGGAAGGACCTTTCTTGCCAACAAACAACCGATCAATGACTAAGAGTTGGTTTAAGAAGAAATTAGGTGATGGTCGTGGTGAAGAAGTCACCCGTTCGTGGCTGGCCTACTCTCCTGCCAAAAAGGCAGCATTTTGCATTTGTTGCCTCCTTTTTTCCCGCTCAGATCACCTATCATCTTTGGAACAAGAGGGGGGATTCACCAAATGGAAGGCACCCGAGAAGATCACCCTTCACGAGAATGCAAAGAATCACCGAATGTGTTTCTCACAGTGGAAAGAAATGGAAAGAAATTTGATGCATACTACGGGAATAATTGACGCTGACCTTCAGTCACAGATGGAGAAAGAAAAGCACAAGTGGCGTGAAATTTTGACGAGAGTCCTCCACTGCATAAAATTTCTTGCTACACAGAACTTGGCATTACGAGGGCATCGAGAGAGTTTTCAAACCAGCCGCGAGAACAATGTCGGAAATTTTCTTGGTCTTTTGAAGTTAATTGCCGTTTTTGACCCCGTTATGAAGCAACACCTCACATACGTTGAAAGTCATCCAGGGTCCACTTCGTACCTATCGCCTTCTGTACAGAATGAATTCATTCACATGATGGCTGTCACAGTTCGCGAGTCCTTGCTGCGAAAAATCCGTAAAGCCAAATATTATGGCATTATGTTTGACACCACTCCCGACCAGGCACACCGTGAGCAAATGTCAGAAGTTGTGCGATATGTGGAAGTTGACTTTGATAAAAAATCTGTTTATGTTCAGGAGTCCTTCCTCGGCTTTATCCATGTAAAGAACAAAGACGCCGAGAGCTTCGTTGACGTGATACTTGGCAAGCTGGAAGAGGACAGAATGAACTTACAGGACTGTCGGTCACAATGCTACGACAACGCTGCCGTGATGGCTGGACAAAAAAGTGGTGTCAGTCAAAGAATCGCGGAAAAAAACAAACTGGCAATCTTTGTAAACTGCGACAACCACTCACTGAACTTGGTTGGTGTACATGCTGCTAAGGAAGAAGCCATGATGATGACTTTTTTGGGACCATCGAAGCACTTTACGTGTTTTTTTCTCGCTCAACGTACCGTTGGGAGAAATTAAAAAATGCAGTGCCTGTTGTTGTGAAATCAGAGTCTGAGACCAGATGGAGTGCAAGGGTCGAAGCAGTGAAGCCGGTCGGTAGATACCTTGAGAAGATACTTGAAGTTGTTCAGGAAATGTCAAATAATGACCAAGAAACGAGCGAGACGAAAAGTGATGCTGCACTACTGCAGAAGCGGATATTAAGTTATGATTTTTTGATTTTGCTGGGCTTTTGGAACAAGGTACTTGTTCGCATAGACCGTGTTCAAAAAAGACTGCAAGATCCTAAAATGAACTTTCACGATGCTGCCTTAGACATGAAAGCTCTCAGAGATCACTTTCATGAAGAAAGGGAAACTCTGGTAAGTGAGTCACTTGGTGAAGGGCTTCGTCTCTGTGAGACGTATGATGTCGACGTTGAAAGGCGTGCACGACGAAAAAAACAGATGCCTGGTGAAAAGTCGAAAGGAGAGGCGTTGACGGCTAAACAGGAAACAGAAAGGGTTATGAAATGCACACTCGATCGTCTTCATTCGGAAATCGACCAGAGGTTTACTCGCCTGCAGGACACCGACCTCAAGTTTGGCTTTCTGCTCGACATCAACAAGCTGTGCTACAGCGAAGACAAAAACGAACTAAAAACAAATTGCAACACATTTGGCAATTTCTACAGTTCCGACGTTAACGCGCAAGACCTCTATGAAGAGATTTTAGATTGTAGGCTGCTGCTTTCACGGCGTATTGACCAGACAGTATCAAGACCGGAGGAACTTCTTAAATTTATTGTGGAGTATGGTGATGATGGCGTATTCCCCAACCTTCGCGTCGCCCTTCAGATGATGTTAACCATTGGAGTTTCCATCGCTGGCTGTGAGAGGTCCTTCAGCAAGCTGAAGCTAATACTCTCCTATTTGCGTGCCACAATGGGCCAAGACAGACTTACTGACCTTGCGCTACTGAGTGTGGAAAGAGAAGAAACTGAAAAAACGAACTTTGACGTCATTATAGAACAGTTTGCTTCATCGAAAGCAAGGAAAGTGCAGCTCTAGTTTTTACGGAGTGTTCCAGTGTATAGTGCATTTTATATTTGTCTTAATATCCAAATGATGTAAATAAAGTGTTTTAAATAAAAAAACGGGTTTTTCTTGACAACAATTATTCACGATCAGCGTTACAGCACTGACGTCATAAAAGGCAACAATATGCGATAACAGGGAGACAACAGGGTTTGCCGGAACGAGTTTTTTAACGCATCATTAGCACTGATGAAAAAAATGCAGGCATCATATGCAGATTTGGCGTACGCAATAATTAATTTTGAATGATACATTTCACGGTAATGTAGCGAGAAATGGTATGGACTATTTACATATGCCTAGTTCGTGATTCTATTTTCTGTGCTTATATGGATTTCATGAATTTCGCATATTTTAAGTAAAGCGAGATGACAAGAAGTGACCACCAAGGTCCATTTTTTGTTAAACTTTTTTTGCTACCATTGTGGACTTCTGGTGTGTTGTGTGATGCATGGACGTACAAGGCGGCTATAGTACACTGTAGTACAACAGCAAGAATAATAATAATAATAATAATAATAATAATAATAATAATAATAATAACAAACATTATCACGGGCATAATGAGGGGCGCGGAAATATATTTGCCCTGGGCGCCGTCCTATCTAGTTACGCCACTGGTTGGTATAGATTGACGACGACTCAGTTCAGGCAGAAGAATTAATAGGTGGGCTAGTTGGTATATAATTGATGACAACTTTGGGGCAGAAGAGTTAATAGGCAGGCTAGTTGGTATAGATTGATTATGATGACTTGGAAGCGCAAACAAACGGGACAAAGTAAGGAGATACAAAAACAAGCTCAGGCTGAAACATTGGTTTAATTGTAGAACAAATATACGCAACAAAACACGAGAGGAAAGAGGGTCAAAAGGGAAGAGTCAATCTAACGGTTTTAGTCTGAGCTTGTTTGTGTACCTTCTTACTTCGTCCCCGCCCCCCCTTTTTTTCTTTTGTTCTGTCAAGTTGTAATAAAACTGTCGGGCATCTTAGCACCTTTGCCCGAGACAAAGTTATGATTCTGTACACATTCCTAAGTCTCCTTCGCGCTTCCTCCGTAAGTTACATGGAAAATGTATAGCCGAGTCGGCAAACATGCATTTCTTCCGAACTTCGTTGTACAGCAGATGCGGTCGCCCATCTGTCGTCTAAAGCGTCACGTGCTGGGACATTAACTGTTAAAAGAGCTTCTCTTAAGTTTGTTTCATAACTTATTATCTGTCCTGAAATCGCGTCTCAGCTAATTTGATCACGAATTAGCCAGCCAGTCCGGCTTGTTCTGATGGGGAACGCTACATATTGGGTGGTTATTTCCGTGTTTGTCACAGGCTCCTTACAGTATTTGCTGGTGATTCGCCTATATATGCGATTCACCTATATTCTACCCTAATTTAATCTTGACTCTCTTTATCTTAATTGACGCATTATTTACGTCATGCATAAATTATCTTTTCGTCCCTTGGCATGCCCTTATAACATTGTCGTAACGGCATGCCGCGTGACACGCATAATTTATTGTGAGTGAACACGCGTACTTTACCGACTGTTGTTGCAACCGCGAGTTCGCCAGCCGTATCTAACACATAACTAGCAAGACGGTAACTTGCCACTTACATACACGACAGAGAGAACGCAACACGCACAAAACACACCGCGCACCGCGAATGAGGCGTCGCCGACGTACGATCCACTACCGCGGCCCGTGGGAACAAGCCTCGGGTGACGCACCCGTGGGCCTTCCCGGAAAGCCATACACCGCACACATACGCCGAACACTTAAGGAGACAAAGCGCTCTTTCATAAGCACCCGGATAACATTGCTTTCCACCAAGTGGCGCCACCACCCGCCGATAGCGGCAACTCTCAGTCGACAGCGAAGCTCGCCAGGCTAACTGACGGTGGGGCTTGGAGCACTGCACAGACCTAGATATAAAGCCCGAGCCCTGCCCAGTCCCGTGGCTCGAAACCCGGGCCTGAACCCGGCCTTAGCTTACATCACCGAACCCAGCCAGGCCTGCGCCCGCGGTTCCAAGCCGGGGCCCCACCCAGGCCCGGGCGTTTATCGCTAAACTTATCCAGGGGGCGCGTGTCCATGACCAGGCCTAGCCCGGCCCCGCTGGAGGATATCAGTCGTTTATGGTGATTGTTAATCATGCATTGCGCTTTGTAGCGGACGATCGAACGGAAAATCTGGTGTGTACATTCATATAGAAATGTTGCTTTGCCCGCGGTGTAGCTCAGCGGTTAAGCTGTTTCGCTGTTAAGCCTTAGGACGCGTCTGCGATTCCCGTGGCCACGACGATCGAATTTTGATTGGGACGGAATGCAAGAACACCCGCGTTCTTGCATTTTTTTTAGGTGAAAGATGAACGTTAATTAACTCCAGGTGTTCGAAATGATACCGGATACACACTGAGGCGTGCCTCATAATGATACTGTGGTCTTGGCACATTATATATATATATATATATATATATATATATATATATATATATATATATATATATATATATATATATATATATATAATGAATTCATAAGTATAATGACCATAATAAACCATATTATAAACGCGTCAGTATTACCGTTATAAATAATAATGTACTAGCATCTAGTGTAATTGAAAAAAAAATGGTAAAAGCAAAATTGCTTCTTGGGTGGTGCTTGCACAATTCTTTTTTCCTCAACCGGAAGCCATGTTCGTTTTTTGTGGAAAATAAAAAAAATAAAACTTGAACAGTTTTTATTTTACTTTCTTTGCTAAGAGCTTTATTAAAAGCCAGCTTTTTGCACGTGTCACTTAAGTTTGACACAGTATGCCTTAGACCAGGCAATGCATAACGTTCGCGTGTGCTCGAAGACCGATTTGGCAGACCCGAGTCCAGCCCAGCCCGCAGCCTCAAGCCCGAGCCCAGCCCGGGTCCACCAGGAAGCGCTTCGGATGGCTTGGCCGGGCCTGGACTTTCGGGTTGGCCCGGGCCCATGCAGTAGGACTCGACTCTTTCGAGCCTGCCCGTGGCTAACTACGACTAATCCTCTGGACACGCATGCCATGTGGTGAAAGCGACGTTACAGGAGGCGGAGAGGGGTGGGGGGGGGGGGGGGGCGGATAGCGTTCCTATTAGAAAAAGAAGGAAGGACTATCATATGCTTTCGCCACATGGTGGCGTTTGCTTGCCAACTCCGTTCTTTACTCAGATTTCGTAGGTTCTAATTTTTCTTTTCTTTGCAATTGTGCAGGAAGCGAGCGACATGTATCGTTACGTCATAGGGAGAGGATGTTTCCAACTCGCAGTAAAACGATTCTTGAATGAATAAATCTGACCTGCGTCCGAGCGTCAGTCCGCCAAGGGCCAATATGCGGCCGTCGCAGTACACGAGCCCATGGTGGGCACGTTCTGTCTTCAGGTCGGCCACGCGATTCCACTGCATCTTGGCCACGTTAAGCCGGTAGCAACGGCGCGTGCACAGGTACGGCCCATCCGCAGACTCCAACATGCCACCTAAATGCACATCCGCAAGTACTGCACCTAACTTGAACTCGGTAAAAATGATTCAGATCACCGAGTACTACCGATACAAGGTGTTTGTTGCAGAGTTGTAAATCATTTTTGATATTCCATTTTATTGAGCATTGCAGGGAAATACGATGTGTATTGCGTGCAGTGCTCCAGTTTTAACGCGATATGTGTAAAACTGCAGGAGCGATAAAAGATAATGATTACGAGATTAGCGGCAAATGAGAGCAAGTAGTATGTATTGTGCAGCAGCGTAATAGTGCAAACATAGGCAACGCACCCATGTCTTGCCTTTGTCAATGAAAAAGCAATGCCACCATTCGGTTTTCAAGAACAAATTCTTTTTCTACATAATCAGATAATTTATGCTTTTGGTTTATTAGGGATGTAATAGGCCGCCACAATGCACGAAAAAAAATATACAC